GGGTCATGGACTCTGCCCAAGGCTCTGTCTGGAGGCTTAGGGAGGTTGGTCTGTTGAGGATGATCTGGTCAGAGGATTTTGAGTCATGGGCAGGCCAGCTAAAAAAGAAGATACTAAAAGTGGGGTATAATTGGAAAATTAGCTTTCAGTTTTCATAGAGGACAAGAGACAGGTCTGAGCTATAAGAGAGCGAGGAAGGGTGGAGAAGGGAACAGCATGGATTGGATTGCAGGCTGATCCTGGGATGGGCTACTCTGGGAGCCCAGGCAGTGACTGAGAGCATTAGAAATACAGTCAGCTTTCTGTATCCATGGGTTCTGCATCTGTGAATTCAACCAACCATGGATCAGAAATACTTGGAAAAAATTGTGTCTGTATTAATATGTACAGACATTTTCTCTCTTGCCAGTATTCCTCAAACAGTATAGTATTGCAAACATTTACATGGAATTTACATCATAAGTAATCTAGTGATGATTCAAATAGGGTATATGCAAATACTATCCCATTTTATATAAAGCCCTCGAACATCCTCAGATTTTGATATCTACAGGGGGTCATGGAACCAATCTCCCAGGATTATGATGGATGAGATGAGTGTACCATTCTGGGTGGGACTTTATTATTTTTTTGATGAGAGTGGGGTTTGAACTCAGGGCTTTGCACTTGTAAAGCAGGCACTCTACTTCTTGAGTCATACTTCCAGTCTATTTCACTCTGGTTATTTTTGGAGGTGAGGTCTTGTGAGCTATTTGCCTGGACGGGCCTTCAACTGTGATCCCCCAGATCTCAGCCTCCTAAGTATCTAGGATTATAGGCATGAGTCACTGGTGCCTGACTGGGTGGAACTACTTCTTCCTCTTCCTCTTCTTTTTTCTCTTCCTCCTCTTCCTCTTCTTTTTTCTCTTCCCTTCTGTCTCCTCCTTCTTCTTTTGAGGTGCTGGGGTTTAAAGCCAAGGCCCTGCACTTGCTAGGCAGGTACTCTACCACTTGAACCATACCTCAGTCCATTTTTTGCTTGGCTATTTTTGAGATAGAGTCTTGTATTTATGCCTAGGTAGACCTGAACTGAACTCCTTCTATTTATAGTTTCTGTATAGCTGAAATGACAGGTGTGAGCCACCATGTCCAGCTTTTTTTTGGGTCAGAATGGGGTCTTGAGAACCTATTGCCTGGGCTGAACTTCAATCACAATCCTCCCAGTCACCACCTCCCAAGGATTATGGGTATGAGCCACCATGTCCAGCTGCAAGAAGATTTTATAATAAGAGACTCTCTGGAGGGGGCAGCCTCATGTGTGCCCAGTGGAAACTTTAGTCCTCCCCCTACCTCATTGTGGCCAAAGGCCAGTGGTTCTTGAGCTCTTATTTTATGGCTAGCTCTACATTTAGGATGATGCCAGTTGCCTCAAAGGCAATTGCTGAATTTGCAAAAGAAATAATTTCAAGCCACTTTCTTTTAGACATGAAAATAGGCTAACCTTCACTTTTGACAGAGTGGTGAAAAAGTGATGTGATTGAAGTTTAACAAGGATATAACAGAAGTAGAGATTAGAAATGATGGCTTCAGCATTTGTGCCTCAACCGCACCACCACAGTTTCCTGTGCGTGGAGGTGATGGGCTCTCTGTAGCTAGTTTTCCCTCCAGCCCTCTACTCCATCACACTCATTAATATCTAGTTAACATTCTTTTTTAAAGGGAGGTAATAGACTTTATTAAAGGTAAGGGAAAGGCATTACAAAAAGCAATGCTGGCTGTATCTGGCCATGGAAGTGGAGAGGGAGAGAGAGAGAGAGAGAGAGAGAGAGAGAGAGAGAGAGATCTAGTTAATATTCTGATCATGTCACTGTCTGTTGAAAAGCCTTCACCTGTTACACTCAGAAAAGGTCAGACTCCCTAGTGTGACATTTAAAACTTTCCCATTTGGCCTTAACTCACTTTTGTGACCTTACATATTGCTTTGTTGAATGACTTATTTCTGGTTAATTTCTATCAGATAAACATGCACCTCAGTCTCTTAGAACTGAAAGACATTCAATAAACATTTGTTCAATGATGGATTGGTGGGTGGGTGGATGCACCATCAGTTTGCATTCTTTTTTTTTTTTTTTGGTGGCACTGGGGATTGAACTCAGGGCCTCATGCTAACTAGGCAGGTACTCTACCACTTGAGCCATTCCTCCATCCGCACCATGACATTTCTTTCATTTTTCACATGGGAAAAACAATAAAACCAAAAAGAGTCCAAGTGGGGGTGAATCTAGTCAAGGTACATTATAAGCATATATGGAAATGTCACCATAAACCCCCACATGTGCAGGTAATATATATTAATAAAAATGTTAAAACAACAAAATCTAACAACCTGAAAAAAATAAAAAAAGAGCCCAGGTGATGAGGTGGTCCAGGATTGTTTGCACAGGAAAACCTGCCATCCTTAGCTGGTGTGAATTCAGCTTCATTTAAATCCATGTCTTCCTTGAAATATCCACTATTAGTTCCATCTGGAAGAAATCTCCATGGAAGATTCCACGGAAAAGGTACCCATTGAGTTTGGCCATCAGGGAAGTGGTTATATAGAAGGTGAGATTTGAACTAGACTTGACAGTGAATATGACGTCAGTCTGCAGAATTAAAATAATCTCCAGGCAGGAAAGGGTTGTACTTGTCTTGTTCTGTGGTGCTCACTAAAGTATGAATCATAATGTGTAGTTCTTGGATACATCAATATATACACGAACACAGACAATACAGAAAATACTACGTATTTCTAACCCCAGGGAGATCTACTTAACCGAAGCAGTCAATTTCTAGTTCAAATGGGAAATAAAGTTGAAAAGGCAAAGCTCAAGTGAACTGAAGAGGACTCTAACAAGAAAGGTGCTTATGACCTGTATTTGTTGGTGTCTTCTATCTTCAGTCTAATTCAGTGTGCTCCATCTATCCAGTCTATCTGGTACTCCATCCCTCCAGCCTACCTGTTGAACAATGCCAGAGGAATCCTCCAGAGAGAGTCAAGGTAACACTAAGAGTCTGAAGAATTATTAAAGGAGGTCCTCCTGGAGTGGGTGTCTTCAAATTGCATTTGAAAGTGGTCTTGTTCACAGAAGAATTTGTTGGTGGTACTTTGTTGAGTGGGAAGGAGGTGACTATGGAATGACCCACATTTGATTCTCTGGACTTCTTTATCATCCTGGTGTACCCAGTCAATGTCCATGATTCAGCCCTACTCCCAGGTCATCTTTGTTGCCAGGTCTTTGTGATGCTCCCCTCTCAGCTGTCTCACCCCCAAATTATTAGGGTCAATCTTTTTTTTCTTTTGGTGGCACTGGAGTTTGAACTCAGGGCCTCACCCTTGCTAGGCAGGTGCTCTGAGCCACTTGAGCCACTCTGCCAGTTCAGGAGTGATCTTTTGACCTTTTCTTGGCCAGCTGGCCTAGGCTTTCACACTTCTTCTGAAATCTGACTCCCTCTGGGAATTTTGCCCTGGGTTTGTGTGTGGCTCTGTATCCCTCTCCTCCTCCCCCATGCCTGTCTAGAACTTGGTCTTCTGAGGTTTCCTCCTCCTTGTCCACCCCTTTCCCCTCTCTCCTGTGATAGGCTAGGTTGGATCTCACATTCCAATCTCCCTCAACTCTAGCCTGTTGACTTTGATTTTTTCTTTCATCCAAAATGTTTATCCTTTTACTTTTTTATTTGTTCAAGGTGTTATCATATTTTGAAATACAACTTGCTGTATTTTATTTTGATTTTCTTCATTGCAGCTCTCTACTGTTCAAATAGGATCTTTGTTTTTTTCTCCAGAAGAGGAGAATGTGGGTTTTGTTTAAAGAATTCCTCAGCTTTGATTTTCAAATTGGCACCAAAGTATCAAAAAAGGTGTAGCCTTCAAATTTAGGCTTTCAAGAAAGATGATTTTATTTATTTATTATTGCTGTACTGGGGTTTGAGCTTGCTAGGCAAATATTCTACCACTTGAGCCACATCCCCAGTCCTTTTGCTTTCAGATAAGTTTCATGTTTTTGCCAGGCTGGTTGACGTTGGGCTGAGATCTTCCTAGTCTCTGCCTCCCTAGTAGCTAGGATTACAGGTATGTACCAACTTGCCTGGCCCTCGAGAAAGATGCTTGTTGACTCTGAAGGTTGGAAATGATTCTGTAAGAAACTCAGAAGTACTGATTTTGGAGTAATTCAGAATGGGAGGCTGAGGATAGAATACAAAGGAAGTTGCACAGGAAGGAAAAACACAAACACAGGCAGCTGTGAAGGCTCTCCTCTGCCTGTGGGCATGGCAGTGGTTGACTTAGGTGACAAAACATACTCAGATGGATTTAAAGGGAATCCAAGAACACCAGGGGTGATTCCTGCTTCCTTGGGAGTGTGCCCTGGAGAGAAAAAGTCCTCTGGAATAGACTCTAGTTGTGTGTGGTCCCAGGCTAACATGGTGTGGAAGACTGAAGTAGAGGTTGATGTCTCACAGGGAGCGCTAGGGAAACTGAGGTACAGAAGATGCTTGGGTTTGAAGTTTTCTAGGACCCCACAGTCAGTGGGGCCACATCTGTGGGTATCAAAGTGGACTTTTGAATAATGCCTAAGGGAGCAGGTGGTCCCAGCCACATTTGGGATATCCCAAGGTGAAAACATTGGTTCAAGTGGATATCAAGAATTTCAGATGAATCAAATATTTGGGGGGCAGGAAAAATGATAAAGTTGACTTATATTTTTGCAGCATTGCACAGTTTAAAAATAGCTTTCTCTGGTACATTGGGCAAAGGGATTATTGTGAGTGAGGGTTTACAGACTAGGCAATTGGGAAGTTTTACAAGATGAGGCAATTTGGCAATGAGCGAGAATTCAGTGCCAGGCTTTCAAGCCTTCTCTCTACAAATCTGCCACCTGGAATTGCACTGCCCTTTGTACCACTTCCCCAGGGACCTTGCTGGTGATATGCATGGGGATTTACAAAATTCAGCTCTCTTGTGTTAGGTAGAAAAGGTCACTTCATTGAGGCTGAGGTGCCACATTACCTTCCACCTGGGCTTTTTGCCTCTCATCCCACTTCACTTTGAGGGGCTGGGACAGCCCACTGTGCTTCACGTGGCAGAAATGGGGGGCTCTGTCCTGATGGGATACTTCTGCTACCACCCAGGACTGGTAAGTGCCATCTCCACTGGGAAGAACACTTTCTGCTGATTCAGACTCCGACACCTTGTTGGCTTTGTTCCACTGTAGGCTAATTCCTTGTGGGTAGAAGTTATAGGCCAGGCATTGGAGTGTCCTCTTTCCTCCTGGGACCACATGGCTGGTGACTGACACAGAGGGAGGGGCTGTGGAGGGATAAAGTGTGAACACCAAGGGCTTGAGGTGGCTTCTCCCTGTCCATGCCTCTTCCATTCCTAGCTCCCCAAATCTCCACCATCAACATAGTTTGTAGCACCTGCCCCTCTGTCCTTCCATCCTTTTATAAAGATCAGAAAGAAGACTTAGGCTTCCCTAGAGTCTTATCTGCTAGGTCATGGGATATCCATGGCTACTCTCTCGTCTTCCTCCCCACACCATTGGGTATTGGCTTCTGATGGTAACAAGTTGTGAATGTCCCCCAAACTCAGCCCAGCTCCTTAGCTCTGCCTGTATTTCTGTCCATCAAACTCTTTCCTGCTCTGTTGTACAGTTGACTTTCTCAATACTTCCCTGATTAAAATCTTAGTTTGTGGCATTCGGTTCTACTCATGCTTGCTTCTCCTTCTGGAGCAGACATTTTACCCTCCTGCCTTCTCTCCACTATCAAGACAAGAGGCATCATGGTAGAAGGAAACAACTATGGGATTTGAACTCTGAAATATGGAAATATGGAAGTTGAGTCCCAGTTCTCAATCTCTCTGTCTCTATCTGTTTCTCTAGAACTGAAGTTTGAACACTAGCAAAGCAGGCACTCTATCACTTGAGTCACACCTCCAGTCTATTTTGCTCTGGTTATTTTGGAGATGGGGTTTCTTGGACTATTTGCCTGGGCTGGCTTTGAACTTTGATACTTCTGATCTCGGCCTTCTAGGTATCTAGGATTACAGGTGTGAGCCCCTGGCATCTGGCCCAGCTCTGTCTGTTATGAACAGTGTTAACCTAATCTCTTAGAACCCCCCCCACCCCAGTTGCCTTTTTTTGCCAACTGGGGACTATTTTGGAAGCCCAACATTGAACTGGAGCATTCCTGATGCATCCTCTGTGAAATTTTGATGAACTTTCTTTTTGGACCTCACACTATGTCTTCCCAGGGTAGAAATGGATCCTAGGAGGTAAAATCTGCGGGCCTAAGGGACTTCTAGGTGTGGACAGGAGCAGCCTGGGATGTTCCACTAGGTCCCCAGCCCAAGAAGATCACTTTGGTCTTCCTTCCTTCCTCCCTTCCCTCTCTCCCTCCCTTCTTTCCTTTTCTTTCTTTTTTTCCTTCCTTCCTTCCTTCCTTCCTTCCTTCCTTCCTTCCTTCCTTCCTTCCTTCTTTCCTTCTTTCGTTCCTTCCTTCCTCCCTCCGTCCCTCCTTCCCTCCCTCCCTTCCTTCCTTCCTCCCTTCCTATCCTTCCTCTCTTTCTTTTTGGCAGTACTGGGGTTTGAACTGAGGGCTTCTTTCTTGCTAGGTAGGTGCTCTACTACTTGAGTCATACCACCAGCTCCACTTGGGTCTTCTTTAGTTCAGCACATGAAGCAGGCCCTGGAGCAATGAGTACCTTGTCTGTCCAGGTGGGTCTTGCTGAGGTTCAGGTACCTCTGCAGCATCCCAGGACACTCCTCCTCCAGGTATGCCTTGGCTCGCTGTACATAGACTTTTTCTGCCTCCCACTTCTTCTTGGTTTGCAGGGCTGCTGGATCCAAGGGGACCCACGTTGGGATTTCTTTGTTGAATTTTATGAAGTCCCGTCCATCATAGGCATACTTCCAGTAAGCTCCAGTGCTTCCGTTACTCCAGAGATCACAACCAAACATTCCCTGGAAGGTGTGAGACCCTGAAGCCTCCCCCAAAGAGAGAGCCAGTCAGCCTGGGGCCAAGTGCAGCTGAATATCTCTTATTCCTGTACACTTTGCATCCCACAAAAAAGAAAGGAAATCTAAGCATGCCATTCCTTTATCTTGGCAGATAGGTTACTAGCCAGATGGATAGCAGGCAGAGGAGGAAAACTCTGTTTGCTTTAGGGCTTTAGGCTAGTCTGAGATGAGTCACATGCTTTGCACAAGGGGACTTAATAGAGATACAAAATATGGACAAATTTTTAGTCTTTCTGCATCATCTCCCTGAATAAAACCTCTTTGTTTCACCAATGGTAAGTTCTTAGGATTCAACATGACCACTCTGAAGTGCATTTGCAAATTAAATAGAAATTATTTGTGGTTTTGTATAATCACAGGAATCTCTCCTTTTTTTCTTTTATGTGCATACATTATTTGGGCCATTTCTTCCCCCTGCCCCCCACTCCCTCTTCTGCTCCTCCCTCTACCCCCTACCCTCCTTGCTTCCAGGCAGAACCTGTTCTGCCCTATTCTCCAATAGGAATCTCTCCTTTTCTTGGTTCTCAGAACAGTTCATATTACCACTTGAGTGTACATAATTTGATCACTTCCTCCTCTTCAGTGGTTGGTATCTTTGTTCCAAACGTCTAAATTCCTTTGCTCATGAACAAGGCTCTTAGAAACTGACCTTCTTAGGGCAGGTTAAACTGACTATAAGTGCAGGTATTTACCCAATATTGTTGGCACAGGCTCTGAAAGCCCTTAAGCTATCTGTGCCCAAATTCCAGATCACTCCTCACCCCACCTGGCCTGATGCATGAACTTGAGTCTTATCTCTCTACACTGTGCTTTCCTCATCTCTGATATGGAATGAAAATAGTACTATTTTAGGAGGTAATCTGAACATTAAATGTGTTCATACCTGTACATACAGTAAGTGCTCAATAAATGTTAGCTACCATTATTTTCTAATATTCTGTGTCCATCTCTTTCTGTTTTCATTTTTGCTCATAATTGTTCACCTCAACATCTCTATTCCAGTCAATGAAAATTCTCTCTCTTTCTCTCTCTCTCCCCCTCCCTCCCTCCTGCCTCCTTTTGAAAATCTTCAGAATCCAATAGATTCTTGAACAGTTTTGTATTCAGAAAATCACTTTTGAACTTTCACCCTATAATGATTTGACATCAACAATTCACCAGGACTGAGACTGCTTCCTTGTGGAGCAGGCAGTGGTTTGGGAGACTCTGCACCTGCTCCTGACACCCCAAGTACAGAGACCCCCCCCTTCATGTGTGCTCCTTATGGGTGGGAGAATCTTTATAATTCTGTGTAACTTCAACAGTCTGAGGTTTTGAATCCAATGCTTATTGGGCTTCCATCGTGGGTCATGGTTTGTGTTCTGTTCTTTCTATTATTCAGCATATTTAAATCAAGCAAATATTATCCACTGCACCTGGCCTTAGGACATGGGGCTGCAGGGGGAGCAAAACAGACTGTTACATCCTTCATGGAATCAACATGGACACGTGTACGGAATCTCTTGGAAGTAAGTCTCAATGCTCCAATTTTCGCAGTTTCAGAGTAGATATTCAAGAAACTTGCTAGTGACTGGTGAAGCTATCAATATGAACTCATCTCTGACTGATTCCAAAGTTGGCCCGTTTCTACCCGACATCCCTGGATGGGTGAGTCTGAAATCTTCTGAAGTGGGACTGGCTTCAGATGGGTAAAGGTGTGGAAGTGAAAGGTCAGAGGTAAGAAGTGACTCTGACATTATTTCCTGTGTGAGCTGAGGTCTGAGAGGAGTATGAGGGAAGCCATGGGGAGAGAGGGAACAGATGCACTGTGCAGGAGGCAGATGTGTCTATGTATTTCTATGTGTGCCTCCTGTTCCTCATTTGGGGGAAGGGCTATTTCCATCCAATTAACCCCTTTTCTCACACACTCACAGGACTGCCTTGGGTGGTGCTAAGGCCTTCCACCCCAGTTGTCCACTGTCCACTGACCTTTACTGTCGTTGTAATAGTCCATGATGTCTTTCAGGGTCACCAGGAAGATTTCCTCCCTGGCATTCTGAAGTTGACTCTCCTTCTCCCAGTCCTCCATTCCTTCAACCTGGCTCCATGGTTCCAAGGGCTCTGCCTTTTTGCTCTCACTATCATAATGGAAGAAGGCCTGGTCATTGAGGAAAGCAATGGCCTGAAACTTGGGGAGGCCTTTACTGGGCCTGGACAGCCCAGTGTACAGAAAGGTCAGTGAGTAAGGACCTGAAAAAGAGGAGAATTGTGGGGTTCACACATAGGAATCCACCATGGAGTTGCAGAAGGCCAGGAGGGAAGACCTGGCCATAGTTCTTTCTCCTCCACTATCTGTATAATGCTGTAGGCCTCCCACCACTGGAGTCTCTCTCAAGTGAATGGGCTCTGCTTTTGTTCTGGGGATGACATTTTAGAAACCATTGAGTTTCTTCATTGCTTTGTTTCCTTTGCTTGGCATGAAAGATAATATTTTCAACCTATAGGGAGGTATATTGGGGCCATATCACTGAGTTCTGGCAAGAAGGAGTGTGAATGGAAGTGATATCTTCTTTTGGTTCACAGTTCTATGAACAGGCTTGCTCCTTTTATCTCTTTCTTTTAGGCAATGCTATAGTTTAAATAATTGTCTCCTCTGCCTCACCAAAGACCTATGTGTTAAAAGCTTGGTCCTCAGGCTGTGTCACTGTTGAGAGGCGAATGAACCTTTTGGAGGTGGGGCCTATTAGGAAGAAGTTAGATTACTGGGGGCATGCCTTTGAAGGGAATATTGGGACCCCGGCCACTTCCTTTCTTTCTCTGCTTCCTGGTTGTCATGAGGTGACCATCTTCTGCTATGTGCTCTCCACCATGGTGTGCTGCCTCACCAGGCCCAATATCTACAAGATCAAATAACCATGAACTATAACCTCTGAAAGCATGAATCAAAATAAACCTTTCTTACTTATAAGGTCATTATCTTAGGTATTTTGTCACAGTGATGGAAAGCTGACTAACACAGGTGGTTACTCTGGAGGCCATAGGATAAAATGGAAGAGTCCCAAGATGCAAGCAGACTGGATTCCTGAATCACTTTGTGGAAGAGAGAAAAGTTGCCTCATCTGTCCTGAACTTGACATGAATGTGAAATTAACATTTGCTAGGTTAAGCTTTATTCGTTATGACAGGATAGCCTAAGTTCATCTGATGAATACATACAATTAGAAAGTGTAGGAAGGATAATTTACTAAAAACTCAAGAAATGACTGAGAATGGATCAGCACAGACAGGGATGGTTCTCAGAATTCCCAGGACTGTACCTTGCATTTCTGTACAAGTAGGGGGTTGGAAGAGAGGGACATTTTCACAATTAATTCCATAATTAGTTCATGATATAATCACATGGGTGTTGGGGGCCATAGGGCAGATTCCCAGCTCAAGTACTGAAATTATTCTTGCTAAATTAGTTTCTAAATGTGTTAACATTTAAATCAATTATGGGGTGCAAAATCATAGTGGGGACCCCAGAAAAGTAGAGTGACCAGAAACATACCACATCTACCTGGGGAAGCCACTAACATCAGCTTGAAGCTCCAGAAAGCAGTCATTTGGGTGTTGACCTGCAGAGTGAGGGGCAGGGCAGCCCAAGGCTTTGGGGACTCACCCTTCACAGCAGTGCACACAAGATGACAGACTTGGAGCTTGAAGATCTGACGTCTACCCTGTTGGATTTCAGTCTTCCTTTGGGCAGTTGCTCCTTTCTTGCCTATGATTCTCTTTTGGAAAAAAGAATGTGTATCCTGTGCCTGTTCCACCATTATATGTTGGAAATAGATAATTTATTTGATTTTATATGCTTCAAATTTCAAGGAGTTGGCCTTGATTCTCAGATGAGTCTTTAGACTTGGGACTTTTGAGTTAATGGGACAGAATTAAGACTTTGGAACCACTGGAAAGCAAATGATTGCATTTTTCAATGTGACAAGGACACAAAACCTTGGAGGCCAGCAGTGGAATGCTATGGTTTGGATATGATTCCAGTGTCCTCCAAGGTTCACTCATTGAAATTTAATCCCTGTTCCCCACTATACATAATTAAGAGGGAGGAGCAAAATCTGACTGTGACATTTAGAGATAGGGCCGTTGAGAAATGACTAGAATTAGATAAGGTCATTAGGGTACCCCATTGTTGAATCTTAGTTTCTTTTTAAAAAGAGGGAGACTGAGAGGTTCTTGTCTCTTGTCAGGTGACACTGCCGGTAAGAAGGCCATCACCAGATGAGGTTCTTAGATCTTGTACCTCCAGAACCATGAGCCAAAATAAACCACCTTTCCTTTTAAAGTTAGCTTGCTTCTGGTGTTACATTATAATAGTGAAAAAGTAGACTAATATATCAGAGGACCTGGAATAAAGCAGATTGCCCTCCACAATGTGGATGGGCCTCATCTGACAAGTCGAAGCTCTCAAGAGAAAAGACTGGAGTCCCCCAAAGAGGAAAGAAATTCTGCTTCTGGACTGTGTTCAGACTCAAGACTGAAACTAACTCTTCTCTGGGTTCCAGCGTGCTGGTTTGCTGTGTAGACACAGAATGTGCTGGCTTTCACAATAGTGTGAGATAATTCCTTAAAATAAATTTCTCTCTGCCTCTCTTTTTCACCTATCTGTCCATTGATCTATCCATCCCACTAGTTCCATCTGTCTGCAGACCTCTGATTAATGAAGATTTTTAGCAGAGAATATACTTAACATTTGAAATGTGATTGCTGTAAAAGTAACACAAAACACCTATTTGACAATAGGTGAGTGTGATTAATTGTAGACTGGCAGAGTTTAGAAATCACTGGTTTATATCTTTTTATCCTAAGAACTTGTATGCCACCAACAGCCTCATTCCATGTCTTAAAATTGACTCCTGGTTCTCCCTGAGTCTCTGCTGTCCTCTCTCTGTTTCTGTCTGAAGTTCCAGGCTTCCTTTTAGCACATCTTTCTTATTAACCTGTCTCTGCAGAGTCAGACAGAAATGTCAGCCACTGGAAGGAGAAAAAGAACAAGAGTAGAAGCCAGGAGCCAGTGGCTCACGCCTGCAATCCTAGCTATTCAGGAGCCAGAGATCGATCAAGAGGATTGCAGTTTGAAGTCAGCCCAGGCAAATAGTTTGCGAGACCCTATCTTGAAAATACCCAACATGAGGAAGGGCTGCTGGAGTGGCTCAGATGGTAGAGCACCTGCCTAGCAAGCGTGAGGCCCTGAGTTCAAACCCCAATACCATCAAAAAAAAATTTATAAGCTCTCTGTGGGTGGTTCCTGCTCTATCCTGCTTTCTGACTACAGACATTGTGTCTCTCTGGGTCTTAGTTTTGTTTTATTTTTCATCTGCATTGCAGATTCGGATTTTCTAAAAACATTTTTTGTTATCTTATTATTTTTGTACTGGGGGTACACTGTAACATTTACAAAAGATCTTACACTATATCATAGTTGAGCTCACCCCCTCCGTCATTCTCCTTTATCCCTCCTCCCCCCATTCCTGGAATAGTTTCAACAGGTCTCATTTTTCCATTTTCATAGATGAGTACATAGTATTTCCATCACATCATTCTCCTACACCCTTTCCTTATAGATTCAGGTTCTTTATAAGGTCTTATTTAACATGAGTTCTGTGGCTTTTTGAATGCTTCTAGAACTATGAGCTGAGTCAGACTGACAGCCTTGTACACCCAGTAGTACATGACTCCCAACAATCCAGCCATACAATAGCCCTTGCCACTGCTTATCCTTCCTGATCTTCACCTTCCCTCCATTCTTCTCCAGCACCTTCTCTTGTTTTGCTCACTCACCAGCTTGGGTGTCCTGGGGTACTGTAGTACCCAGAAGGAGAGACAGGGACAGCAGGACAGGTATCATTGTTACCGTTGTGCCTGGTCTGAAGTTCTGGACAATAAAAAAGTTCCTGGGGCCTGGAGCCCTGCCCAGAGTTGATGAATACATAGCCAATGAAAGAGCCAGGATGGACTCCTCCCCTGACAGTGAGAAAAAAGAGCTCATGAACCAGCTTAGCAGAAGTGTGGTCACGGGGTTTACAGACTGTGTCTGCAAACAGACAGTGTCTGCAAACTGAGAACTGAGACGGCTGCTTTCAGGACCTGGATCTGTGCATCCATCAGAGAAAAGACCAGTGGGCTGGAGGTGTGTGTGTGTGTGCTGAGTGGTAGATACCCAGAATATATGTTGTCCTTACTGACCCCACCAGGGGCCAGTACAGGGATTTGGGTATTACCAGAACACACTTTGATACTTTATTCCTCCTTTCTGGAAAAGTTCCAGAAAGGAAACTTTTTTTTGTGGAACTGGGACTTGAACTCAGAGTTCTGCACTTGCAGAGCAGGTGCTCTGCTGTTTGAGCTACAACTCCAGTCCATTTTGTTCTGGTTGTTTTGGAGATGGTGTCTCTTGAGCTATTTGTCCAGGCTGGTCCCAAAACATGATCCTCCAAATGGCTAGGATTAGAGGCAGTAGTCACCAGTGCCTGTCTATCCTCATTTTTTAAAAAAAAGAGATTATTAGATTTTATTACTGAGAAATATAAAAAATGAACATTTGTACATAAAGACACTATTAATAAAACTAAAAGGTGAATGCACAAATCAAAAACAATATTTTTAAATTACAGGATAAGGGGTTAATATTCTGTGAAAGTTGTCAGAATCAAAATGGAGTCACAGTGCCACAGCTCTGGTGCTTGGCCATAATTCCAGCTACTCAGGAGGCAGTGGCAGGAGGATTTCAAGTTCAAGGCCAGCCTGGGTAAAGTTAGTGAGACTCTATCTCAAAAACAAAATGCAAAACAGAAGGGCTGGGGTGTAGCTTAAGTGGTAGAGCACTTGCCTAGCAATTGTGAGGCCCTGGTTCAATCCCCAGTAACACACACACACACACAGAGTCACTTTGACAGGCCCTAGGCAAAAATAAATAAATAAAGTCCAAAGGTTATGAAGGAGAAGAGTCATACATACACGCCTGATAACAAGAACTATCCACAAACTCAGGGAAAGAGGGAAAGGAAAAGAGAATGACAGAGCATCAGTAATATCATAAAACTAACATCTGTGAGGGTAGAGGATATAAGGATGCGTACTGAAAGCTGTTGAAAAAGGGTGGTGGGTGGGAGGTAAAGGGATAGGGAGAGCAATGGAAGGGGTTGAATGGGCCAAAGTAAAGTGTACCCACAGTGGGGATGCATTGAGACACCCCTTTGAACATCAACTTAAATATTAATAACGAAAGACAAGACTGTAATATAGGTACAGTGTGGGGGGTACTTGTGGGAGGGAGAAGGTTAATGAAGGAGATTAAGGCGAGGGAATATGGTGGATGGATTTCATATACTTATATGAAATAGAACAAAGAAACCTCTTGTAATTGCTTTAAGTGGGGAATGGGAGGGGGTAGTGGGGAGTGGTGATGGGGCAATGTAACTAACATACAATATAAGCCTAATCAGAATTGTCACTATGAATCCTTCCATACAACAAATATATGCAAATAAAGAAAACTTTTTAAAAAGAAAACACAAAGATGTAATGGTTTCGCTGATGAATTCCACCAGCCATTTAAGAACAAGAAAGTAACAGTTACATCGGACCAAAGAGCTCTGAGGTGCTGTTTCACAATCTAATGACTGTAAATAATGAGGCGGTAGGGGTGACCTAACCAATGTGCACTATAAGCCTAACTGGAACTGTCACTATGAATCCCCCCATATATCGAATATATCCTAATAAAAATTTTTATAATAAAAAAAGAGCTATCCACAAAAGTCTCAGCCAGCACCATGACCTCACATAAAGGCCAGTACAACCTTACACAAAAAATGCTTCTTCGTCAGGCTCCAGTGGCTCTCACCTGTAATCTTAGTTACTTGGGAGGCTGAGATCTGGAGGACTGTGGTTCAAGGCCAGTTCAGTTCAAAACTTCATCTCTAAAATAACCAGAGCCAAATGGGCTGGAGCTGTGGCTCAAGTGGTAGAGCACCTGCTTTGCAAGTGTGAAGCCCTGAGTTCAAATTCCAGACCCACAAAAACAAAAACAAAAACAAAGAAAATTTCTTCAAGAATGTCTGCCTGATAACTGTTTAATCTTGGACTGACATACTCATTATTGATTGCTGTGGGTTGGGATCGTTGTTTCAAACTATCTTATATAATCCACCTCATTTTGACTTTGAAATTTTCCCCTTGTCTCAAATATAGGCTCAAATTATCCTGTAATGCACATATCTGGAAAGGTTCTTCACATGCCTGGAATCTGGGCCTGGGCAGATGTCAGCTAGTGACATGGGAAAATGCACATAAGCTCCCAAGCTTCACTTGCTTTTAGTTGACTTTAAAAATCATAAGCAATATGTTATTAGTCTCCCACTAGCTGTGCTATAGATAATGCTCTGACTTGTGCGTCGTGATAACAACAATTGTCTGGGTTACTTTTCAGGGACTTGAAGGCTAGTTTTGTCAAAACCTCTGACTCTTCACTTGGGCCTGTGCTGGTGTCCAGTGGGCGACATTTTGACCAGAAGGCAGAAAAATCCATCTCCAGATGCTGCTGATGCTGCTGAAGACCCAAACTCCTGAGAGTCCATATGCCAGGTCAGGCCACCAGCCCCTAAATGCCAAATAAAGAGAGGCCTGGTGAAAGCAGAGAAAGGAGGTTTATTACACAATGGGGGACATGCCATGGGAAGATGCAGAGAGAGCATCAGCTCATCCTCAGCCAACTTTGGGGTACAGACATGAGCTATAGGTTTAAGTAGACAAAAGAACTGGGGGCAGGGGACACAGTTATGTATAGTTAAACAGTCCCAGTCACAGGTGTGTTCTGGTTGACCATTACCTCAGTCCAAGGGTTCTGGGAGAGTTTCCAGGGTTGTTATCTGGATTTATTGTCAATTGGCAGGTGGTCCATCCTGAGGAAGGTTTACTGTTGAGGGTAGTTTCTGTCTCTTGCCATGAAGATATTATCATCTGTCTTTCCTGGAATCCAAAGTGATTGCAAAATGACTGCAAAGAGAATGGAGGCAGGGATGCCAAGATTCTCCTGTTTTTAGTTAATTCATGTGCCCAAGGAGTCTGTGCTTTTTAGCAAAAGCAATTTGAGCGCCTCTTACACTGCCATGGTTTGATTGTGCACAGACCTTGGGTTGCCTTTCCTCAGGCCTTAAAGCACCTGCCTCCTTTATTTCAGAAATATGTCCAAATCTTCTCCTAACAGAGGCAGATTTGAGACTTGGGTCTCTTCCTTCACACTCAGCCATCTTGTGGAATAAATCTTTTTTCTTTTGAAAAACTCATCTCCAAGACTGACACACTATGCGGAGGACAAAATAGGCCTAGTTCATTAATACCAGGATGCAACTGTCATCAGAGTTCTGTCTGGAAAACATTCAATTCCCTTCCTTTTTTTTTTTTTTTTTGGTGGCACTGGGGTTTGAACTCAGGGCCTCACTCTTGCTAGGCATGCACTCTACTATCTGAGCCACTCCACCAGTCCTTTTTCGTGTTGAGTATTTTCAAGATAGGGTCTTGAGAACTATTTGCCAGGGCTGTCTCGAACTGTGATCCTTCTGATATCTGCCTCCCGATTAGCTAGGATTACAGGTGTGAGCAACTGGTGCTTGGCCCTTCCTTGCTTTTTATGCCTGGGGAATTACAAGCAGAACAGCCAGGTGCACTCTTTTGCAACCCCCCTTTGCAATAAAACAAAAAGGTAGGCACATTCCCTAGGCTCAGCAAGCAGCTGCTCCTGCCCTGGTCACTTAGTCAGGTGCCAGGGAAACAAAGAAGCAGGTGCAGTGGGCAACCATTCCTGGTGGTTTTAGCTGTGCCTGCAACTGCAGTCCCAGAGGACAGCCATAGTTATGGCTCCAGCCCATGGTGGTGTCATTGGTCAATGCTGTGGATCTGGTGCCCCCTGCTGGCATCTGCAGTGTGTTCAGGAGACAAATGATCTTTGATGCAGAAAATGGTACAATGATTGTTTTTAGGTAACCATGGCTCAGGGAAATGGAGCGCTGTGAATCTGAGACTGGTTATGGGGCCAGAATTGGGCTGAAGGCAGTGAAAGTAGGGAGGTCTGACGGAATGCTTGTGGGTCTGGCATATAGCGGTGGGTGGAAATCTTAGCTGTATTGTCATTTGTGCCTGAATAGAATGAAATCTCACTGCAGGAAATATTTTAGGTTCCCAGTGGCTAATATTACAGAATAGTTTGAGGACATGAAGGATTCAAGGACCAAGGTCTGAGTTCAAAAGTAGTAGAAAGCTTAAAAAAAAAGAATAAACTCAGCAGCAGAAATTGTTGACTCAAATCACAGTCTGAAAATCGGGCAATTTCTATAATAGTGTCGAAAGAATCTTTTGTCTTTTGCAGTTGCAAGGATGAACAGGACAGAAAAAACTAATCATGTCTACTTATTGAAACCTAATAACAAATGTTGGGCGTGGTGGTTCCTGCCTGTAATCTCAGCATCTGGGAGGCAGAGGCAAGAAAGTTGTAAGTTCAAGGCTAGCTGGGGCTACAAGGTGAGAGTCTGTTTCAGAAAACCAAATCAAACTAAACCAAACCAAACCACCACTGTGAACCCCCCAATAGCCGAATATTAGGGGTGGTAATCTAGTTACCCAAATCGAATATATTTAATAACAAAATGTGGTTCAGACATTCCTACCATTTTTATGTGATGGTCTGGGCTAAGAATAGCTTCACTGATGAAAGAATTCATATCTGGAATGGCATCGGAAAGCTGCCGTGGGAGGTATTGTGGGTGAGTAGGACACTGGACAGGGACAGAATTTATGTTGGCAGATAGAAGGCAAATTTCACGAAGACAGAGATGCTATCTGCCATGTTCC